TTGGGGTCTCAGGAAATCACCCAGGTGTGGGCCATGCTGATGGGAACTCAGATATGGCTGCCGTCAGCTCTGCAATGGGGGAGGTTCAAGCACAGGAACTATGACCTCTGTGAACACCCCTTTCTGGGAGAAAGCCACCCCTGAGTTCCTGTCCTGATGCCAGACAGTCTAGTTCCTCCACATATGTCCCTGGATTCCCCCAAAGCCACCGCCCCACTGGAACTTAGATGAAGTGAGTTTGTGCACAGGCCTTTTAAGGGGAACACCTGGGACTTCAGCAGCTTTAGTGTCACTGCGCCACAATCCCTGCTGGTTTTTATGGTTAGAAGTTAAGGGGACTTCTCTTCTCATCTCTGGAACCCTGGGCTGGGGATCTGGAGTATGGCTGAGACCCCCTGCTTATCACGGGAGACCTTGGAGATATCCCTCCTGATTAAAAAAATGCTACACATGAATGTTGGATCAAACCATTCTGTGTCCCCACCCCTCCTACCAGTCTCAATGTGCTTTCTTCTCTAGTTCTCTAGTTGTAGGACTTCTATACAGCCAGACTTTAGGCAGTTCTGAATGATGATTGTTCTGTATTTTAGTTGTAATTTTTAAAAATAAGTTTTTATTGATTTCAGGGAGGACAGGAGAGGGAGAGAGAGATTGAAACATCAATGATGAGAGTGAATAATTGATCGGCTGCCTCCTGTGTGCTCCATACTGGGGATTGAGCTCACACCCGAGCATGGCTGGAATCAAACCTGGGACCCTTCAGTCTGCAGGCCACTGCTCTATCCACTGAGTCAAACCGGCTAGGGCTTAGTTGTAATTTTGATGTGGTTGTGGGAGGTGGTGAATACAGGCATTTACTCTTGCCATCTTGGTTCTCTTGCAACAGTATTATAGTCTATGTTGAACAATCTCTGGGCTGGGCTTGAGCTAAAAGGGGAATTAAACTAGGATAAAAACATAATGGCAAACTGAGTCATACTGAGGTTTTCCATCCAAATCCCTAGAACTAGGGAAAAAATAAAATAATAAACCCTTAGTCCCACTGCAAAACAAGAAGAGAATCTTTGGTGGATCAGAGAAACCCCCAATAAGGACTGAAAAGAGAAAGCTGGAATTAGTGAAAAAGTACAACCACAGGAGATTACTGATATAAAAGCTGGAACAGCTCCAGCGAAGCCCTAAGCATACACAGGGATTCAGAGATACAGACACAGCACCCTGGCTCCCACCCAAGGTGATTAATTAGGAGCCCAAACAGAAGCAGAAAGGAAGGTTAGCTCCTGAATTGTAGCACTGTGTGCCCACCCAAGTGAATAGCACAACTTGACAATATTTATCTGAACTTTGAGAATAGTACACTGAAGTAAGCACCAGCAAAACTTCCAAGGCATAGCTACTATCTTTTTGGTTTTTTTTGTTTTTTTAAAAAATCCTCACCAGAGGACTTGCTTAGAGAGAGGAAAGGAGAGAGAGAGGGAGAGGGAGAGGGAGAGAGAGACATCCATGTGAGAAAGAAACATCAATCTGTATATGTCCAACCTGGGGTGGAACTTGCAACCTAGGTATGTGCCTGACCAGGAATCAAACCAACAACTTTTGGTGAACAGGGCGACACTCAACCAACTGAGCCACTCAGGCCTGATACACATCTACTATTTTAAGGACTTGCATAGGTTGAGGAAAACTCTACTATAAGCTTGAAGTTAAATTATATATTGTGCTTATTTTTGAAAGTGCAGTAAAAGTGCTCTAAGGTGTAGGTAAGATCCCAAACATGGAATTGGAGAGACAACAGAAAGCAATGCCACAGGACTTCCATGAGCACAGAGTGTACACGCACTCTGCCACCTGAGGTGTGTGATTGGTGTGGTCTAATGATCTGGAGACATAACCCTGGCAAAGGCAGCGGGCTCTGGCAGTGGTCTGAGTGCATCGAGTGGATGGACGGTTGGATGGCTTGAGGTTAGCTCTCTATGGTGGTGCTGGGAGCTGACACAGTTCTTGCAGGTACCCTATGCTGACCTTGCCAAGCCCCCTGCCGTTCCGCAGTGCTCTCCTTATTCTGAGCCCCAGTCCTTCCTCTCCCCGGGCTTCCAGCCTCCTGGGCCTGCCCTTCTTCCCCCTTCCCTCGCCCACCCTCGTGGATGCACCTCGCGCCTGGCGCTGTCCCAGGTCGGGGACTGTGAGGAGACTTGGCCTCCTCTCCAGGCAGTGACCTGCTGGTGGAAACCCAGGGAGGAATTCCTCCTTAGGGTGGTGGCTGGTGCCGTGAAGGAAATACAGAGGGCGCTGTGGTACCAACTAATGGGCTGAGCGGCGTAGGTGCCACTAGTCCCTCCTCCACTGGCCAGGGCCCTGGTGACAGACACAGGGGATCCTCCTCCCAGGTCCTCCTGCAGCGGTGCCACGCCTCCCTTTGGTCCCGGCCCCCCCATTACCCTCCACCTCCCACTCCGCCCCTGGCTATTCCCAGCCCCGTTCTTCCGGTCCTTTCTGACCCCTTGCGCCCAACCCTGACGCGCCCTGGTCCCCTGGACCCCGCCCAGGTGTGGCGTTCTGGGGGTTCAGGAAGCGGCTTCCGCCTGTGGGTGCAGCTGGACAGAGACCAAGGGCTGGGACACTAAGAGCGAGTTGGGCGCGGAGGGCGGCTTCTGCCAGGCCAGGCATGCGCAGCGGGGAGGAAGGGGCGCCCCGGGAAGGGAGGGCGATCGGGGGATGGGGGTCGGGGGAGACTGTCCCCAAACCGCTGGCCTCGCGTCGGACCCTCCCCCCCCCACCCATGCACCTAGGCGGGAGAGAAGCTGGGGTGGGCCTGGGGTGCCGCTACTCCAGGGCAGGGCTGGCCCCTTGGAGGCCGGGCGGTGCCTGAAGCTCTCAGGGGCTCGGAGCCCATTTCCCAGTACAGCTCAGCTGCCTTCCCCGAGGCAAGCCCTTCCCAGCACGTCTCCCTCCTTCCTGGGAACCCCACGCCCTGCGCTCCAGGACTCACCCCAGCGCTCTGCCCTCTCATTCCCGTCACTTGCTCCTGTTTCCTGGAACGGCCTGCCATCCACCACTCCTCCACCCCACCCTGCCTCGCCTTCTCGGAACCCTCCCGTCAAAGTTGCCATCTGATCCCTCCAGCTCTGGCTGGGCAGGCCTGCGTGGCCCCCTCCCAAGCCTCCATTTCCCCACCGCAGGTAATTGCGTGCTGGTTTTTAGCATCTGGCTTAGCTTCCCCATTCCTTTCTCAGCCATCATCCCTCCACAACTCCGCAGCCTTTATTGTCTTCAGAGCCGACACTTACGCAGCTCAGCCATGGCTACCCACTCCTGTCACACATGGGCTAATCCTCCCAAACTGCTCACTTGCTCAGCTTCTTTTGTAAAATTAAGTTTATTGGGCTGACATTGGTTAATAACATTATATAAGTTTCAACGTACAATTCTGTAATACATGTCTGTATATTGCACTGTGTGCTCACCCCCCCAAGCCTAGTCTCCTCCCCTCATCATATATTTGACCCCCTTTGCCCTTTACTACCTGCCCCCAGCCCCAGCCCTCTGGTGAGCACCATACTGTTGTCAGTGTTTGTGAGTTTGTTTGTTTCTTTTGTTTGTTCTTTTATTGCTTTCTGTTTTATATCCCACATATGAGTGAAGTCATATGGTTCTTGTCCTTTTCCATCTGACTTATTTGGCTTAGCATGATATTCTCAAGATCCATTCATGGTGTCACAAATAGCAGTATTTCATCTGAGTAGTATTACATTGTATAAATGAACCACATTTCTTTTTCCAATCATCCACTGAAGGACACTTACTGTACATTGTTTCCATGTCTTGGCCACCATGAATAATACTGCAATGAACATAGGGATACATATATCTTTATGAATAAATGTTTTCAAATTTTTCAGGTGGATACCCAGAAGAAAGATTGTTGGGTCATTAAGGTAGCTCTAAATTTTTTGAGGAACTGCCATACTGTTTTCCATAGTGAATGTACCAGTTTACATTCCCACAGCAATGTATGAGGGTTCCTTTTTCTTGACAACATTTGTTATTTCTTGTCTTATTTTTTTAAATTTTTTATTAAGTTATTACATATGTGTCCTTATCCTCACGTTACCCCCTATCCCCCTCACTCATGCCCTCACCCCCCTGTTGTCTGTGTCCATTGGTTATGCTTATATGCATGCATACAAGTCCTTTGGTTGATCTCTCCCCTTTCCCCCCACCCTCCCCTGCCTTCCCTCTGAGGTTTGACGGTCTGATCCATGCTTCTCTGTCTCTGGGTCTCTTTTTGTTCATCAGTTTATGTTGGTCACACTTGATCTTAGCCAAAAGGCCGAGAAGCGATATATGTTGTTCATTATATTCCATAAATGAGTGAGAGCATGTGATATTTATCTTTCTCTGACTGGCTTATTTCACTTAGCATAATGTTCTCCAGTTCCATCTGTGCTGTTGCAAATGGTAAGAGCTCTCTTGTCTTATTGATAATAGCCATTCTAACAGGTGTGAGGTAGTGTCTCATTGTGGTTTTTATATGCATTTCCCTAAGAACTAGTGAAGTGGAGCCTATTTCATGTACCTGTTGCCCATTTGTATATCTTGGGAAAGGTGTCTGTTCAGGTTCCTATCCCTTTTTAAAAACTGGATTGTTAGGTGTTTGTTGTTGTTGAGTTTTATGAGTTATTTATATATTTTGGGTATTAGCCCTTGTCGAAAGTATTATTTGCAAATATCTTCTCCCATTTGGTTGGTTGCCTTTTTGTTTTGTGTTTTGTTTTTTGTTTTTCTGAGCAGAAGCTTTTTAGTTTGATGTCTCATTTATTTACTTTTGCTTTTATTTCCCTGGCCTTTGGGGTCAAGTTCACAAAAGGCTTTCTGAGACCAAGGTCCATAAGTTTGGTATTTATGTTTTCTTATATGTATTTTATTGTTTCAGGTCTTATATTTAAGTCTGTAATCCATTTTGAGTTAATTTTTGTGTGTGGTGTCAAATAGCAGTCTAGTTTCATTCTTTTGCATGTGTCTTTCCAAATTTTCCAACACTATTGACAAGGCTTTCCTTTCTCCATTGCATGTGTTTTGCTTCTTTGCCTAAAATTAGTTGCCCATATACATGAGGGTTTACTTTTGCTCTCTCAGTTCTGTTCCATTGGTCTGTGTGTCTATTTTTCTGCTAATACCATACTGTTCTGATTATTGTAGCAGCTCTTTCTTTAAAACTCTTTTTGTGCTTTTGTTAATAACTCCCTGATTCTTCTTGTGCTTTTCTGGCCTATCCAGCCTCTCTGTGTCTTTCCCTGGGTCTTTAGAAATGTGCCAGAAAAAGACAAGGAAATGCCATTCTCCCTTATGTACTAGCATTCCTAGGGGTCCCCTCCTCTCCCTGGCAAGCCTCCCCAACACCTGACTTCAGCTACATCCATTGGCTGATGAATCCCACAATGACATTGGTGCCTAGACCAGAACCTTCCACGGAACCCCAACCTTACCACATCAAAAACGAAATTCAGTTTCTCTTCCAAATTCACTGCCTTCTGTTTCCCCAATCTTGCTTGTCAGCCATTCGCCCGATGGTCCAAGTCAGTAACCTGAAAGTTATGCTGGATTTCTCCTTCCTACCTACAATCCCCTGGGCCTGTCCTGCATTGTTCTCAAGCAGCTCTTCCTTCTGTGCCTCCAGTTTATCACGTGGTGTCTTTCATTGGAAATGTTGCAGCACTGGTACTTCTGTCCTGTCCTGTTTGTCTACATTGCTGCAGAGCAATCTTTCCAGTACATGATTCTGTTTATGTGATCACACAGCTCAGAATTTTTCAGAAGCTCTCCGTAGCCTGTGAGATAAAGTAGAAATGTATTGGCATCGCATATTGGGCTCCTCATAGATATCCAGTTGTTGATACACACAGACCCAGTGAAGAATCCAGGACTGAAAATCTAGCTCTGTAAGCAGAGGGCAGGGAAAGATAGACGGAAGAGGCTAGCCACTCCAGTCCGGTAATTTATATAGTTTATTAATGGACACAGCTCATTAAATACATCTTAGGTGGCTTCAATTCAGAATGGATTCCACACAGCTTGGCAGGAGCAAAGAATCATATAGGATAAAGGGGGGATAGTCATGGGTCCTAGCATGTGAAAGCTACCAGGTATGGGAAATCACATGCTGGACCAGGTCAGGACAAAGGCCTGTCCCAGGAACCAGCATGCAGCAGGGGAGGGGTGCTAGTTTATGTCAGAACCGTCATTGATTACAGTAACCGTTCAGGCCCTGGTCCAGTTTGCCTGCGGGTCTGACAGCAGCCATGCCCTGGAACAGTCTCTCCACATCGGCCTAAACTGCCTCGGGTTGAGTGATATCGTGATAGTAAGTTATTTGTTTCCTCAAACATGCATACTTTTGTAAGTGTTCCTGTCGCTGAGTTTAGAATCCTTCCTCCTGGGTGTCACCTGCTTAGCTCATTCTTGTTTTTCGCTCTGACATAACACTTCGCTCTGACCCTTCTGATCATCAGATGTGTGGGTTGTTCTCCACTACACCAGCTGGCTGTCCTAACTCAACTCAGCACTCCAACCTGGAGATAGAGTCAGATTCCACAGGTTTCAGGTTGTCACACTGATTGACCCCCTTCAGATGCCAGTTGCAAGTAGTAGGCCGCAAGGTTACCCACAACTTCTGTCTGATTTTGCTACAAATTGCAGGTTTCAATGACCCTTCTTCTTCCCCAGGTCTGGTTAATTTGCTCGATCAGTTAACAGAACTCAGGGAAACACCTACTTACATTTACTGGTATATTAAAGAATCTGATAAAGGATACAGACAAATGGCCAAATGAAGAGATACATAGGGTGAGCTCTGTTAGGGTTCCCAGCACAGGAGCTTGTATGCCCATAGATTGGGGTGCATCACCCTCTAGGTATGGATGTTTGCAAACCTAGAAGCTTCCTAAGTCCCATCCTATGGTCTTTTTGGTGGCGCTTCATCATGGTTAATGATTAACTCCATTTTCAACCCTTGTCCCTGGGTGAGGCTGAGAACTCCAAGCTTCTAACCACGGCTTTGTCAGTCTGGTGAACAGCCTTTATCCAAGAGCCCATCTGGAGTTTCTTCATGAGAACAAAAGACACTACTCTCGGCCAGGAAATGACAGGGGTGTCAGGAGCCATGTGTCAGGACCTTCGGTCAAAGACCAAATATTAGAACAAAAACTGCTCCCAGTGCTCTTACCACCCAGGAACTCCCGAGGGTTTCAGGAGCTCTGTGTCGGGAGCAGGAGGCAGAGACCAATATACATATTTTCTATAATATCACTGTATCTATCTGGTATGTCAAGGCCAGGGACCATGTCTTCTATCACCATATCACCAGACCTTAGTGTAGCTTCTGGACTATAGTAGGTGCTCAATAAACGTTTGTGGAATAAACAAAATAATTAATCATACTACCCATTTGTGCGTCACTGTTATCATTTTATGAATGCTAGATAGTCCATGTAATAAAGTTATTACAGCTGATGAGCAAACATCAAGTTATCCAAGAATCACCCAGTAAATGATCTACAAGACTTTGCCCATCATATTACTTAGATAACTCACAGGACAAGAACTTCCCACAATTCTTCTGAAGATCTTACATTGACTTTGGAAGTGGCAATGGCCCCTAGGAAAGAGAGAGAAAGTATGTGTATTACAGGGTGGGTTTGGGGTGGGGGAGAGGAAGGAGCAGGAGTGACAGGGTGATAGAACCCCTCCCTCAGCCCTTGCTACTCTGTCCCTGGGGTTTGGTGAACAGTTACTTCTTGATAAGGGACTGAGGCTCAGTATCTCAGGGTGGATGGGTATCTCTAGGTGCTTGAACTGCTTGCCTTTGTATAAAAAGAATGAAATGTTCTGACCACCCTTCCCCAAGCAGATGTAAAAATGTGTATCTCATGTCCCTTTTGGCTTTTGTTCTGTGATGCCCATGCCTGTATTTCCAAATTAAACCTCTTACCTTTGTGCAGAATACAGTGCATTTTCAAGGGGATCCCACTCTCTGAGCATGGAGCTTGGCCAAGAAGGCAGCCTCTGGGTCTCCAAGGCCACTGCTCTGCATTGCAAGTCCCAGTGTCAGCTCCTGTTTCCCAGAGCACCTCCAACACCAGGGAAGCAAAAACTAGTGGGGCTTGTTGCATGTGCTATGGCACAAGCCACAGACTGGCTGAAATAGCGTCGTAACTGTTGAGTTCTGGCATTGGAGGGAGCACTTTTCTTAAACTTCTCATGCGAATTTATCTAGCTTCCGTCAGCAATGACCTGGGCCTCAGAATAAGGCTGCCCAGAGTCAGCTGCCCCCTATCAGTTATTTATTTATCAGTTAGCTATTTTTAAAATCTTATGATCAGAAATTATCAGCGCTTTACTGTATCTATGTATTATATTTATTTTTAGCTTTACATATTTAGCGAGCTTTCCCTGCTTTGCTGTCTCCCACCTCCCTAATCTATAACCAGTGGATTTCATTTAACCCCTTTATGTCTCCTCTTTTGATTGTAATGTATAAAATAAGGGGCAAAGCTGCCATTCTCTGGGGCATTTTCTCAGTCCATTGAGACTTTGCTTCCCCGCAATTGTCAACAGTTTGGCTCAAATAAACTCACAAAAATTCTTCACAGGTGTGAATGTTTCCTACATCGACATTTACTTGACATAGTTGGCAGGATTCCAGAAAGCTCACCCAGGAACACTTGTGCTAGGATGCAGCAAGGGACCCATTGAGCCCCGCCAGCTTCCCACAGGCTGCATCAGGTAAATTGTCTCCTGAATCCAGGATCTTCCCCTGCGGGAGGTAGAAGGCCTGACTAAACTATTGTTAGAAAATCCCTTGAGGTGGCACTAAAGGACAGAAGTTGAAATGGGTGGCCCATTTTGATTTCCACTTTTCAATTGGAACTGCTTTCTGAGGGTCTGAGCAAAAAAACAACAACCTTTGCTATAGAAATGAGAGCTGAATTTGTTCAGCTCCAAATATAAGGGGCACACCCTCCCTCCAGCCCAAATCTCTGGTTTTCTTAGGTGACTAAAAATACTTGTGGAGGTATCAAAAGTCATTCCTTACCACCTGCAGCCACTCCACAGGGAAATTCCAACTCAAATGTAATTAAACTGACAGGCTTCCCTGGAGAAGTGCCTATAAGGGTTGGTCTCCTGGCGCCCCGAGCCCTTCTGGTTGTTTGAGACAGCCGGGAGAGAAACTAAGACACTTAAGAGGGTTGAATACGGCTTGAGGGGTGAGAGCCTCATGAAACTCAACCCATAAGCAGCACACTTTGACCCATTACATAGAGTCCCGAGAAATTTTTCTCAAACTTTATAGATATCAAGAGAAAGACTAAAATTAAAATGGAAAATTGTGCCTCTAAAGCAGTAGTTCTCAACCTTCCTAATGCCACGACCCTTTAATACAGTTCCTCATGTTGTGGTGACCCCCAACCATAAAATTATTTTCATTGCTACTTCATAACTGTAATTTTGCTACTGTTATGAATCGTAATGTAAATATCTGATATGCAGGATGTATTTTCATTGTTACAAATTGAACATAATTAAAGCATAGTGATTAATCACAAAAACAATATGTAATTATATATGTGTTTTCTGATGGTCTTAGGCGACCCCTGTGAAAGGGTCATTCGACCTCCAAAGGGTTCGCGACCCACAGGTTGAGAACTGCTGCTCTAAAGTCAATAAACCCAAAGAATCCCAACCCCTCATTAATATGCCCCCAAGAAACATATACAATTCATATGGAATCTCAACTTGCAAGTATCTACAGAAATTGAAAAATTTTAACTACAAAATGGTATCAACTTGAAAGGGCCAAAGTGGGGAATTTTGATAGCTCCAAACTGATTTTTTCCCTACACACTCAATTAGAAAAAAACGGCTCTAAAATTAAATAAGATGAATGGGAAGCTTATCTTGACTGCAAATGAGAAGCTTCTAGGAGAGGCTCAGATAAAATATCTTCCTTGAAGGAAGTTAATAAAAAACTGTAGAGACTGTCTCTTAACTAAAGAAGGTTTCTGAAGCCAATAAATGCCAAGACCCCATTTCTCCTCCTACAGCTTCTCCACTCTACCCTTTGTTTTCTAAGCTGCCTTGTGCAGACTTGCCCTCAACCTCCCTTCTTCCTTCTCCTATATCTCCTCCACTTCCACTCCCTACTGACCTAGGGAAAAACCAGAATACAAATTCAGAGAAAGATAAAGCAGGAATTCTAGCAGCTCCTTTCAGAGAAAAGCCTGTCTCGGGTAGAGGGGACCCAGCAACTGTATATCTTCCTGGACTAGAACAGAATTATGAAATCTAACTAAAGATTTCCCTGGCCCGCGCCAGCCAGGACGCTGGTGGGTTTGCAAAGGAATTTGATGGAACTGCTAGAACATATGATCCTGGCTATTCTGGCCTATTCCAGTTAATATACCTACTGGTTTCTGAGAGCAAGGCAACAGAGTAAGGTGAGCTGGCATACTCCTGTAGAGGATATTTTTAAACCGAGAGAAACACACAGGGAAAAATGCAGAATTAGTTCACCGGCTTCATCAAGCCATATATGAGATTTTTCCTCTGAAAATAGACTGGACCCAGATCCAGCGAAGTAAAAGAAAGCCTGACAAACCAGTGTTTGATTTCTTTGAACATTTTGAAAAAACTTTCAAATACTCAGGCCTATCTCCAGAAGGTTTTAAGGATCATCAAAATGATCCTTTACTGAATTTGGCATTTATGGAAGGACTAGATGAAGAGCTTGTAACTTTGATCAAATAACACAAATTGAACTGACAGACCTCCCATGCTAATGAATTGGCTATTCTGGCCAATCAATTATCAAAACTATTCAAAAGAGAAAAAAATAAAATAAAACTGACAAAATTATGAACTTACACTTCCAACAATTAAACAACCAAATCAAATCTACTCAGAAGTCTCTTAGACAAGGGGAGAAAGGAGTCTGTTTTTACTGTGGAAAACCAGGTCACCATAAGAAAAATTGCAGAACACTGAAATGGCATTTACAAAGGAAAAACAAACGAACATATGGCTGCTTATAGGATTTCTCCTTGCTAATACTTTAGAAGAAATTGAAATTATCCTAAAAGGGGAAGTTACTAAGGCCCTTGTAGATACTGGGGCTACTTTATCTATTCTTAATGCTACCCAACTAAGTTTCCCTTTCACTCAGAGTAAAGCTTCTGTGCAAATGCCAGGGATATCCAAACAATGACAATTTTAAAACCAAAACCTGTCACCTTTCAACTAAGGAATGTTATGGGGCAACACATATTTTTACTGGTCCAATGGGCCCTGATTCACCTGATATGGAGAGATTTTCTTAAAATCCATAATGCCCACATATCCTTTTCCTGGAAGGGTGGAATGTATTTAGAACCAAATTAATCAAATGCTAAATCAATTGGAAAAGTAATGATTTTAAAGAAACTTCCACCAGAGGAAAATAATCTTGAAACTCAACATTTGTTACTGGATATTCCAATACCACTTTGGGCCCTTTCCAGTACAGATATTGGCAAAATCAAGTCAGCCACTCCTTTTAAAGTAACTATTGACAATATTTTGCCTCTGCCTAATACTCACCAATATCATTTAAGACCTAATACACTAGCTGTAATTAATCCCATTATGTAAGATTACTTAACAAGCGGACTTATAATTTCATATACAAGCCCCTGTAATTCTCCTTAACTTCCAATAAAAAAATTGCAAAGAATAAAAATTTACATGGAATCTCAGAGCGAAAGTAAAATAGTTATACCCACACAACCTGTGGTTCAAAATCCACATACTTTTTTATCACCATTCCTGTAAATTGCCATTATTTTTCAATAATAGATTTATGTAGTGTCGTCTTCAGAATTCTAGTAGAAAAAGATAGTCAATATCTCTCTGCCTTCACCTGGGAAAATCTACAACTTACTTGGACTGTAATGCCCCAGGGAAAAACCAAAAGTCCAACCTATTTCTTCCAATTATTAAAAACTAATATAAATAACTAGAGGCCTGGTGCATGGATTCATGCACATTGAAAGGAAATTAATTAGGTGTCCAGCAGGGCAGGATTGGGCAAGACTGGCCAGATATGCCCTGGAGCCAACCTCCTATGGTCCCTCCCCAGCTGGCTGCACCTGGGGCAGTGCCAGGGCTCAAAGGGCATCTGCAGAGTGAGCGGGGTCCCTCTGGCAGGTGGGGTTCCTCAGCCTGGCCGCTGGGATCGGACCAAAACCAACAGTCAGATATCCCCCAAGGGATCCGGGAGTGTGAGAGGGCACTCTGCAAAGTTGCTGTTGCTTGGCAGCTCCTGCGTTAAGTGTCTGCCCACTGGTGGTCAGTGCATGTCATAGCGACCAGTCGAATGGACAGTCAGTCACTTAGGGTTTTATATATATAGATGTTAAATTTCTGAGAAATTCCCCTCTAATACAGTATATGAATGACTTACTTTTATGCCCCAAATGGCACAATTTCCCTATTGGAGCAACTAGCTATAAAAGAACATAAGGTCTCAATGGATAAGTTTCAATTTTGCTTACCTCAAGTAAAATACCTTGGCCATCTCATATCTAAAGATGCACTACAAATTAACTCAGTAAGAATTAGAAATCTTATCTTTCCTTCTTCCAAAAACAAAAAAACAATGTAGAAGGTTCCTGGGTTTGATTGGATATTGTCAAACTTGGGTTCCAAACTTTTCATTAATAGCCCAGCCTCTATATGCCTATTAAAGTCAAATCAGCCCGACCAGTGTGTCTGAGTGGTTGAGGATCGACCTAGGAACCAGGAGATCATGGTTCCATTCCAGGTCAGGGCACATGCCTAGGTTTCAGGCTTGATCTCCAGTAGGGGCCTGCAGGAAGCAGCCAATCAATGATTCTTTCTCATCATTGATGTTTCTATTTCTCTCTCCCTCTCCCTTCCTCCTTGAAGTTAATAAAAAGTATATATAAAATCAAATCAACCTAATCCAATTAAATAAAACACCAGAGGGAAACAAGCTGTAGAGCTTCTAAAGGAAATATTGTCTAAAATTCCTGCTCTGGGACATCCAAATTATAAACTTCCCTCCTTCCTTTTCACACATGAAAGTAAAGGAAATGCTTTAGGAGTTCTAATTCAGAAACATGGAGATCATCATAGATCTATGGGATATTATAGTCAGCAACTACATTCAGTAGAAAAAGGCTCCATCCCTGTAAAAGGGTCATCTCTACTACAGCTATATTACATAAACAGACAGAAGATGTTTTCATGGGCTCTCCATTAACTATTTATGTTCCTCATTTTGTTGAATCTTTTTTTAAAAATATATTTTATTGATTTTTTACAGAGAGGAAGGGAGAGAGATAGAGAGTTAGAAACATCGATGAGAGAGAAACATCGATCAGCTGCTTCCTGCACACCTCCTACTGGGGATGTGCCTGCAACCAAAGTACATGCCCTTGACCGGAATCGAACCTGGGACCTTCCAGTACGCAGGCCGACACTCTATCAACTGAGCCAAACCAGTCAGGGCAATTTTGTCGAATCTTAACTGAATTTTTATCACGCTCAACACTTCTCTGTCAGTTGATTGACTTCTCATAAAATGCTCCTACTTTCTACACATAATATTATTTTAACTCAGGCAATTATTTTAATTGCCTTAACCCTACAAAATTTTGTTATTCTCTTTACAAAAAAAAAAAAAAAAAGACACCTAGAATTATATTTAGTTTACTGACCTCTTCTTC